ACAAAAAGTTGAAAAGACAACATGATCCAAACGATATCTATATTTGGTCGAAAAGGTGAAAAGTTGTAATTTCCAGACTGTTGAAAAGACCTTGAAAATCCTGTCCAACAGTGTTTGTATCACAACACATAATTAAATTAATAATTATTAGAATGAGTTTGTTTTTTTTCACTAAAAGATGAAGTTATGCCTACCTACGCTACAGAGTTTTTGATTACGTCACCCATGACTGTTCCGGCAGTGCAGCAGATCAAAGCCACATCCAGACAGTAAAATCCACCCGTTCTGATTTGACTCTTAAACGTAGGATTGACTTGACATTGACCAATCAGATGAGACGTAGAACAAAATCTCACAAATGGTACTTGCGAGTTGATATTCACAAGAGACTTTAAGCACAGTTTATTCATGTCTGTAAAGAGATCTTGGCAGAAAAATATTGCAAGTTGTGTAATGAATTTGCAGCAGGTGTATGAATCTCTGACTTAAGTAATCATCTTTGCAAATACAAATCTTTTTTTACAAACATTAACATAATAATTATTCACACATACATATACTGACTTACAAGCAGAAAATATAGATGTATTATGGATTCAATTAATTAAGTTTTTTTAGCCTTTAACACCACTTTGAATACATTAGTAATTCTCAACTTGATTTCATTGCTACAATAAAACATAACAGAATACAACTTCTTTCAGATTGAGCAGAATTCTTATAGTAATACTTAAGTTATACCTGAATCACTTCTTTGCTCAAGGTAGACGGCATCGCTTCCATGTTTTTTATTATGTTTTGTGTTATGTTTGCAAGGACAGGTCAAGGTGCGGTCAGCTATACTAAAACACTTTGCAGCTATTGTTCCTTAGTTTCAGTGCTGTTTGTATCATGATGGTAACTAAAACAAAAGATAGGAACATAGTTTTATAAAGCATTTTATAATGGAAAACATAAAATACGTTGGAAAAAAAATCTAATTCTAGTCTATCACGTTTGATGTTGTTTTGCACATTTCTGTGTTTTTTGTGGCTGTGCTTGTTAGATTTATGAGCCAGTTTCAGAAACTGTGCACAACCCTCTCTATAATTCATTAAGAGATAACTGGCTATGTGCCATCATTGTACTTAAAGCCACATCCAAAACAGATTCACTCCACACATACCCAATATTCAAACACACTAGTGAAAACACCCAAACACACTTGGAGACTAACATTTTTATTTTTATTATTTTATTCATAAATGCTCTCCTATGAATAGTGGCTTCCCACTCAGTGGTGAAATAAACTGTTAACATTTAATTGTCATTAATTCAAAATCAGGTGTTTTGAATTAATGACACGCTGGTTTAAATATCCACAGTTCCTAGTAAATTAGGTTAAGAACTGCTAATTGATCATCAGAATTGTTAATTATAATGATGAGCTACGAAGTTGTTTTTCATACTTTGTGTATATATATCAATCCATCCATCCATTATCTGACACGCTTGTCCCGAGTGGGGTCATGAGGTGTGCTGGTGTGCCTATTTCCAGCAGTCAATGGGCGAGAGGCGGGGTACACCCTGGACAGGTTCGCCAGTCTATCGCAGGTGTGTGTATATATATATATATATATATATATATATATATATATATATATATATATATATATATATATATATATATATAGATAGATAGATAGATAGATAGATAGATAGATAGATAGATAGATAGATAGATAGATAGATAGATAGATAGATAGATAGATAGATAGATAGATAGATAGATAGATAGATAGATAGATAGATAGATAGATAGATAGATATATATAAATAGCACAATAGCCCAGGCGTATCAATAGCACATTGCAAAGATATAGCCTAAATTCAAAAGTGGCACTAATAGCAGTAGCATAATGATGATAAAGATCATGAAATTATGAAGTATCAGGGAACAACCTGTCTGAAGCTGCAAAAATGTAAAAGTCTTATATAAGCCCTGTATGGCAACCCAGTATAAAAAAGGACTATGTGGGCTTAAATATATAATAAGCATTCATGATGAAATATTTATCCTGGAGCAAATGTCACATAGTAGCATGAGGTGAGGGAGGAGCAGTGAACAATCTCACCATGTGGAATTCACCATGCACTGCTTCACCGCCCTTCACCAAACAGTTTAGGTTTTGTTGCAATGGTGAAATTACAGAAACACGATAAAGGACTCTTTATATGGTGGACCTGTTTCTGTTGTGAGGAGTTGATTGCTTCATGAGGAACCAAGCAGCAACTGACATCCATCAGAGCAGTGCTCTCTAATCCCAAAATGTCATGAAGCAAGGACAGATGGACCCAGTATTCAAGGAGAGACAGTCAGTAGGAAAGTTCAAAACATTTATTAAATAAACAAACAAAACAAAAGCGGAGCTGTGGCTTGTGGACACTGCAGGATGGGGAGCAGGGCACCGCCCAATCTCAGACACTCTGGTTTAACAGTCCAGACCAAGAATGTCCCCAAGTGCTGCAGTCAGGGATGGTCAGGGATGCCGATCAGGCAGGAACAGACAGAACAGGTTTAAGATCAGGCAGGAACAGAACAGGTAGCAGGATCCAGGCTTCAATGCAATAACAGGCTCCCAGGAGGGTTCAGAGTCTGACTGGGACCAGAAGCATGACCAGGTGGTCACGCACAGGAGCAGACAGGATCAGGTGCAGACGAGCAGATTCAGTGGAAGAGGGTAGCCGAGACAGGACGTGGAACTGGAACTTGAAGCAGGACTTTAAACTGGTCTCCTCCTGGAGCCAGGCTTACTGGATAAAAACTGAACCTCCCCACATAATGAGCCAAAAACCCAGAGGACTCCACAGGGGAGGAACAGTGGACGATCAGGAGACGAGACAAACACAAAAACTGTCTTTCCACTGGCTGCTAGGATCCAGGACACGAACCAAGGAACAAAACTAACAGACAGGCTAACAGAAAGACAAGCAATGATCTGGCACTGAATGCTCAGGCTGAACTGAATATAACAGGAAACAGTAGCAGTAGTGGAGTTTGGAGATGCAATCCACTTCTTAAATCTATCTTTGCTCTCCTTTAATGTATCCAGAAGCCTGCAATCACAGCTCTCCCTCCCAACTTTGTGTTCGGCTGGATATTTAGCATTTCTTCCCTGGAAATGCCTTTCCAAATGGCTCTTTTTATTTTTTTACAACCTCTAATTACAAAGCAAAAATTCAAGCAATCCTTCCACATTTGTAATGAAAGAAAACCCTTTGAATTATCTGTTCTCATTAGGTATCTTCCTTTTCTTCCCTTTTGGATCCATGTCCCTGTCATGATTTTATCTAAGGCTCGGACCCACATGCAGTGAAACCAAACAGAGAGACAGGGATGAAAAGTTTGATGGATTTTATTGAAGATATTAAGCTCGGTGCAGAGTTTCCCTGAACTCTGCTCAGCTGGAGCAGAACTAGAAGGCGAGGGGAAGACAGACTGTTAGCTCAGGCTCAGTGGGAAATTTGATTCGTTGATCTTGAAGGAGAGGATCTGATTGTTGACTCACGTTTCCAGAGAAGTGAAGGATCCTTGACTCCAATCTGTGTTTTGGTTTTCCAGTGTATGTCTGATTAGACGGAGGGCGGAACAGGGTTTACCCAGAACTCGGACGGTGTAGGTGAACGGAGACGCTGATTGCCACTCAGATTTCCTGCTGTACTTGAATGGGTCTTGGTGAAGATGATTCCTTTGCTCAGAGAGTAATTTCAACGTCCTCAAAAAGGAGACTGGATCTAAACCTCCTGTTTGAATCCCTGGCTCAGTTTAAGACTCAGTTGGTCCCTCCTGGGAGAGGAGGTCCGAAAAGGTCCAGATGGCAGGATGACTTCCTGCCGAGAGGCAAAGACAAAAACAAAGTTAAAACTCAGGGAGAAAAGAACTCAGTCTTACTCAGAGAAAACTCAGCTTGGCTAGAGTACCAAAAACTGGCAAACACTCTGGCGCCGAGGTAGTGGCAACCAGCAGCTTAAGAGCACTCCGTTAATGGGGTAACCGTCAGCAGGTGTGTGAGGAGGCTAACTGGGACCGGGCGCCTCCTGTTGGTGGAAGGGAGACAAACACAAAAACAAACACACAGACAAGAGCCCTTACAGGCCCAAGACACACCTGTCTGTCGCCACACTGAAATGTGTGTTACAGGCTATGACCACTCATCTCTATGACTGTAACGCAAATTTTCGTTGAAAGAAATGTTTACATTTTTTGTCTTAATTTATGTATTATACATATGTTTACAGCATTGGAAAACATAATAAATGTTGTCTGACCTCCTGCACACCATATTAAGACAAACAAACAAAACAAAATCTTTTCTCATACATTTTTTTTTAAAAAGCTCCAGGGAGCCACAAGGTGGGCGATTAAGAGCTGCATTTGCCTCCAGAGGCATGGGTTGTCAACCCATGGTATATAACATCGTAAGGTATGGTGAAGGATATTCTTTTTCCAGGTGGATCATCAAAATAAGTTGTCTTCCTTATTGTCAACCATTCTGGTGATATGTTTCCGTAAGACAGTTCCCATTTTTTCTTACCTGTGGTGAGTCTGACATAGTGGAAAAATTGCAAATCTTCTTTTGGAAAGTAAGCTTGTGTGAGTGATGCAAGCACAAATTTTTAAACAGGGTATGGATGAGGAGAAATGGGCCTCTTGCATGCTCTTGCATGCGTTGAATAGATGTTCCCTCTCAGGAGCCGTTACAGGATTGTGCATATGCATTTCTACAAGTGGAGAGAGCATTATTTAATTGTTTTTCTGTTAATAAACTAATGCAAATAGGGATACTATAGCCATAAAAAAACAAAATAAGCCTCTCCACTGTGAGATGCGAATGAGGCTTGTAACAAGGACCAGAGTCCAGTGAATTGTGTAAGGACAGTCTGATAACACCCAACCAGTGTCCAATCAGCAGCCTGAAACAGGTGCCATAAACAGAACAGATAAGGCTAGGATGCTCAGCCAGAGTACACACTGCACCAGAGTTCCTGTTTCAAAGATAAATCCTGCTGGAAGGTTTGCTTCATGGATTTCTTCAACATATCAGACAGCAAAATCTGCATCCTGCTGAACATCACTGCAAAGGAAGAGTGTTAAATGGACTGAAATAAAACAGGATTTTTATTTGGTTGGGCAGATTGATCCTAGAGCAGACATGGTCTTTGTGAATTTTAAATCCATTACCCAGCCTCTTGGGATCATGCGAGTAATGGCAGCCATCGTCTCTTGTATGTGTTTCAGTCTGGTGGCATCAGTAAAACCAGACGCCTCGCCATACTGGGGATGGTGCATCTTCACCTGGGTTTTCTGCTTTTTTTTCACTCTCATCATTCTCATCCTGGAATTTACTAATGTCAGCACCAAAGTTCCTTTTGCCTGGGAGGACTTCACTGCTGCCTTTGCTATCCTGGCAAGTGTGCTGTGCCTGTTTGCCTCCATCCTGTACCCAACCTTTTTCACCTGTAATACCTGTTACAGACAGATTGGAGCTTCTGTTGTGTCCTGGATTTGTTTTGCGCTATATGTGGCCCAGGTGGTCCTAATACATCTTCGCTCAACAGGACAGAACAGTGGCTTTCTTTCCACTCCGCCAGGTATAATGAAGATGCTGGAAAGCTTTTTTACCTTCCTCATCTTCCTTTCACTGGAAGTTTCACAGTACTCAGGGTCCCCAGCACTGAACTGGTGTGTAGCTGTGTACTCCCTGTGTTTTATTTTTGCTATCGCCATAAACTTTCTCACACTTGGTAATCTTACTGTCTATTTTCCTTTTTCTTTCGAAAAGTTTGCAATTGTTTATAATGTTTTGGCAGCACTGATGTATATAACAGCTATGGTTATATGGCCACTATATTCTTTTCACAATAATAAGAGGCCAGTGGACTGTGGCCGCCTCTGTAGCTGGGACAAACTGGTTATGATTACAGTCATGACAATCTTCAATTCCATTGTCTACACTCTGGACGCTATCTACTCTATACTTTTGGTATTTTTTCTCAGCAATGAGTGAGTTGTTGCTTGTAAAGACCATTGCAAACCATTCCGAGCTTAAGTGAAAATGATGGTGTTTTCTGTACAAAAATTCTGTCAGTAAACTTTAAAGTAATCTGCTATTGCTTATCAGAAATTGTATATGAAATGGAAAAGGTGACCTCACTGTGTATACATTGTGCAATACAACCAAAGAAAAGGAAGTTGGTTAAACATTAGTTGTTATATGATTGTAATAAAAATGACAATTATCTTTATAGAACTTTGGATCTTTGAGGATAATGAAATGAAGAAGACTGAGCTCATATCTTTTTTTTTTATTATTACGTAAATGTCAACATCAAGGGAAAAGCATTTATTTATCTTTTCACCTTAGGGTGGAGCTGCACTCTGAGGCAAATATACATTTATGCATCCCAGATCTCTATATAATTTCTGTCTTGCATTTCTTTGCCAAGTGAAGATGTAGAAGTACAAGGTAACACAGTCTTTTTATTCCTCCAATTTTGTAAGATATGTTAATACATTTCCAGGTAATCCAAGCTGCAAATGAATTATGGATGTCTGAGGATTGCAATGTTGATTTTCTACAGATGCCACACAAAAAAAGAACAGATGGAAACTTTGTCATGCTACAAACATTCAGTTCAACTTAAACAAATAGATGTATTTTGATGACCTATGATTAAATTAGTTCAGCTAGATTACTTAAGGGCATTGATATGCTATAGATGCTATAGACGCTATAGACCCAAACTGGGAATGTCTTCTCTTTTGGGCCCATCCATTTATGGATGACTCACTTATTAGATTCTGCACTGGCTGTTTGAAAAGGATGTTTTTGCTTTGGAAACATTTTTGGAAAAGGCCCAGTGTCTGTGGCAAAGTGTTTTGTTTCCCATATGAAAGTATTTTGTTTCCCATGCAAAATTTTCATGATTTTTTGTGTCTAATAAGCCCATGGGTTTGGCACCAATAATGGTGCTTAAATAAAAAACATGATTTTTTCCCCTTAGAGTACCTCAGTGTCTCAATGGGCCGGCTACAGCTGCTTGCAACGGGGGGGGGGGACCCTGGACCGGACCTCAGCAGAGAGTCATGAGCCGCCCATCCTCCACCAGAGGAGGGGGGCTGGTGGCCAGTAAGGCATGCGGGGGGAAGCACGGGGCCGCTTATGTCCAGGCTACCGGTCGGGGTTCGGTTGCCCCGTCCCCCACTGGCTCCCTACCCTTTCCGCCGGGATTCCCAGACCAGCTGATGGCTTGATTCAAATCTCCAGTGTGTTTTTGACTTCATGCTGCACTGTAGTTGACCAAAATCTTATTTTTTTAGGTATGAAAAGTAGGACATGTCCATGAAAAAGAGTATGTCTGGTCACCCTACCATTTCAACAATTTTGATGTTTCAGTGAGTGAGTGCTTGTTGCTTTGATACGTCTTTGCTCAGCAGCTTCGCTCGTTGTAAACTAACCAATCAGCTAAATATTCATTAGCATACCATAAAAGGAAGAAAACCTGTTGTTTCATTCTAGTGCTTTTAATCAGGCCTGCATTAGGGCTCATAGAACAGCAAATATGCCATTTTCAGCCCAACTAATGTTACACACCCCATTCAACAATAAATATTCAATAAATATTTCAAAAACCTTGTGTGCAAACTGTTCTTTATGTGCAAATCTATGTTTAAAGTGCAGTGCTAAATAAAGTGTTCTAGTGCTAACCAAGCTGGTTTGTAATAAAGCGCAAAGGCCCCTTTAAACTGCTACAAGTCATTTATTTAAAAAGCTATTTTCATAAAAATAATCTCAGCAGTCAGTCCATGTTGGACAGAACAACATGGATTGTGTCCTGAGGCCCCTGTTGTTCACTCTGATGATACGACTGCATCCCCAGGTTCGCCACCAATCACATCGCAGACGACACTACAGTGGTGGACCTCATCAGAGACGACAACAACCAGGACTACAGAGAGGAGGTGGAGCAGCTGGTGGACTGGTGAAGAGATAACAGCCTGATCCTGAATGTGGAGAAGATAAAAGAATAAAATTGAAGGAGATTGTCAACTTCAGGAAGAACCGGCCTAACCTCGCTCGACAGCTCATCTACAGTTTAGTTGTAGAAGTAGTCAGCAGCACCAAATTTGTGGTGGTGCACATCACAGACAACCTCACTTGGACTATGATCACCACCTAACTAATCAAAAGGGCTCAGAAGCACTTGTACTTCCTGCGGACGATGTGGAGAGCCCACCTGCCCCCACCCATCCTCATGAACTTCTGCAGAAGCACAATAGAGAGCGTTTTAACCAGCTGTCTCATTGTGTGGTGTGGAGGCTGCAGCGCCTCTGACTGGAAGAGTGAGAAGAGTAGTTAGAACAGCAGATAGGATCATTGGGGCTCCCCTTCCCTCCATAAAAGACATTTAATCTCAGCACTGCGCGTACCGAGCCCGTAACAACATTTGTGACCCCTCATACTCGCACCATTGACTGTTCTGGACCTTCTGAAACAGAGGAACAAAATAACTGGATGGGCAGGGGTATTCTGATCAAGCTATATTTTAGACTGAGGATGAGCCACAAAGAGATTCTGAAAAGCTTGACATTGTAAGAAAATTCTCATTAGCTAAAGTTTGGGACCTTAAAGCTGCAGTCTGCAACATTGAGGAGAGAGCAGACTTCGACTGAAAATTTGAAGAAAAACAGGTTTCAAGCCACTCCCCCACCCTCTCTGCTTCACTCATGCCCCACCTCCAAGCTCCATCCCCTCACACAGCATCTGCGCGGCTACCGCATGCGACCAGAGGGCGGGGGGGGATTCAGCGTGTGTGAGCTGTGATTGACACTCCATCAGACGCTCCTCTGGCTGTTATTGGTTGTTTTGACTCGCCCCGAATTATTCTTTCCAGATTGAAATACAGGCAGTAGGCGGTACCAATTGAAGCCGTTTTTTTCACAGGTTACATATCACATGTACTGCTGTCTGGGCATAGGGACAGTTTTAGCCAATATGACAAAAAAAGTGATTTTTAAAAACTTACAGACTTCAGCTTTAATGGTTTTCCCTTTATGGTATTTCCACTTTTTCTGTTTATGCTATGCAGAATTGTTCCTACTTTGCTCAAGGCATGTCACATTTCCAGCCTGCCTCTGGTAGTGCATGTAGTTGCACTGTCAGGGTGCTGGTTGTTAATAAATAACATATTTTCTTGTTCTTTATTTTATTATCGCTTGTTATGTGGTGTAAGTAGTGACAGGCCTATTGACTTGCCTGGAAAAAACTACAGTATACCTCACAGTTAGCCAAAACACCTGCACCCACACCTGTGGCATATACTAAAATTGTGAGCTAATGTAATAATACTTTGTATTTTACCTTTTTTTATTGATAAGCTGGCTGACAATTACAAATTAGTTTTCTTTCTGCTTTTTAGCATTCATTTTTATGTACATCAGTTCTTGGGAGCATTATATTGACTGGATCAGTTTATTTGTTTGATTTTTTTCAAATTACACTCTTAGAAATAGTAAAAGTTATGCAATAATCAAGAGTCCAAACAGACAACACAGGCTTTCCAGACTGAAAGCATGTGTGGGAAAAGTCGAAAAGCAAATCCCTTTATCAGGAAACAGCTGCAGCTTATTGAGAGAAGTCTGTTAAAAGGCCCTTTTCTCTTTTAGCTTTCTTTCTTCGGTGAGTTATTTTTTTAGGTAAGGCTGAAAAGCCAGAAAATGTGACCTCATTGCTTTTGTTCTTTTTTCACCAATTGGAAACTTTAAAAGACGTCATCAAAATCTGACCCCTAATCCCACAGCCATTGTGTAACCTAATACTTCAATCTGTGTGAGTGAACTCGGGTCAAATAGAGTTACTGAAGTGTGAAAAGGTTGATGTTCTTCTCATGTCAGGCTAACAATGAACGCATTTATGCATTCAGTCTATAAACGGGAGAAAACGACATAAAACTTATTTAAAAATGATTTAGATTCTTTTTTGATCAATCAGTCTGTAAAACTGGGATGGAGTACACAAATTAAAGAACAAGTTTTGTCCCCTTCAGAGGGGAGTTATTTGCAACAGAGCCCAAACTGTCTGATTTGAAAAGTGTTGATAAACAGGAATTTTCAAATGTTTTCACAGATTCTTAATTTATTTATTTGCCTGAATTTTCCTCTAATCCCTGAGAAGCTGCATTTATGTAAATATATTAATTTTTTAACATTTTAAACTTTTTTCATAAATAAAAAAATTGTAAAATAAAATGTTTATAATATAAGATTATATAAAATATACATAAATACATATACAAATATTCACTTTTAACAACAGCAACAATGTGTTTGCTGGGAGCCTATGTTGCTCTTAAACTATTGTGGTTTTCCTTTAATATGTTTTTGTGTTTTCTCTTGACCCATTTTTGGGCCATCACAGTGGTAAAACCAAAACCCAGCATTAGATCCATTATACAGCAGGACTGCACCTCCAAAAGGCTATTTTTTCATGGTGGTCTGCAACAATTTAGATGTCATCAAGCATTATTGTACAAACAATTTAATCTGTCCCAATGAAATGAAAAGGACATTAGACATGTCGTGAGAGCTTAACCTAACTTGTGTTATCTCTGCTGCAACAGTCACAGGGCTGACAGGCAACATGCAGATAATATATACGTATATATATATATATATATATATATATATATATATATATATATATATATATATATATATATATATATATATATATATATATATATATATATATATATATATATATATATATATATATATATATATGTACAACATCTGTGGCTGGAAACCCCAAGGTCAAAGAAGGAAACACCTCCAAAGAGCATAAATGTAAATATATACTGGAAATAACGTTTTCTATCCCTGCATATGTAATCCCATTCCCCTTGCAAGAATTGGACAGTAAGAACATTAACAAAAAACAGATCAACAAGTGTAACTTCAAGAGGAGACTGTGTAATTCCACCTTCAAAACCTGCCTTTGGACAGGCAATAAGTTTTATTACTTTGTCTCCAAAACCTAGTAAACTATACCAGGGTCTTTAAGAGAGCCGTTTACAATCAGTTCATTTTAAAAAAAATCTCCAGTTATGGGTACTGTGAAATTTCCCTCAAATTGTGGCTTGACTTGGAAATTTAAAGAAATACTTTACTGTTGTATTTTACAATTTCATGAGCTGTATGCCAAAATCATCTGTATTAAGACATTAAAATACCTGAAATATTTCAGTTAGTGTGCAATGAATCTAAAATATATGAATGTTTTGGTTTTATCATTACATTATGGAAAATAATGAACAAAATGCTAATATTTTGAGAAGGACCTGTATGTTGTTTCTTCTCAGCAGTGCCCATTAGTTTAGAGCTGACATGTTTTGTCAGAAACATCCGACCATGTGGTAATGAAGTGTATTTGAATCTGAAAATCTAAGAGGACATTAAACCCTTTAACAACAGGCTACATTTAATCACTAACTGCTAAAAAAAAAAAAAAAAAAGTTCCCTTTTTTGATTTAGGTGGCATGTCAGGAATGAGAGATAGTGTAGTAAATCTTTGGTATAAAAGAGAAAATATAATTCAAGAGAATTTATAGGGAAGTAACTTTGATTATGGCTGTAGATTATAGGCCCAGTCCTCACTTCACTTCCCTCATACCTGCAGCAGCTC